TGTGTGAGTTTAGTATGTACGTTTCTGATGATGATTTTTCACTAACTAAACTTAAAATAGCAGTTAGTTAAGAAGAAAAATGGCCGGAAAAGGTGGTAAGGGGCTTGTGGCAGGGAAGACCATGGCAGCTGCAGCAGCTAACAAGGACAAGGACAAGGGCAAAAAACAGCCGGTCTCTCGTTCCGCTCGAGCGGGTCTTCAGGTATGATTATCACCTGATACCATGATTTTTTTTTTTTTTTTTTCCTTACTGGTTTGTTTATTTCTCTGCATTGTGTTAGTCAAGTATCTGTAGTGCTAGTAATAAAAAAATAATTGAAGCAATCTCTTTATTTTGGGTTTGAGCCTTTGAAGATAAAGGAGATTGCAGTGTTATTAATTTCTCTATAGGTTTATCAATGCCTCTTTTGGGTGTGGAAATTGTTGGTAATGTAAAACGATGAAATTCTCTTAAAGTTTCAAGCTTGATTTTGTTGTGCCTGCTCATGTTACTTATGTTTGAAAAAATTCTCCCATTTCATCAACTTATGGGTGTCGTGGAATAAACACTTGGCTTGCTGAAAATTGACTTGTTAGTCAAAAGTGTTGTAAAATCATTTCTCATCATCCAAATTTCAGATTTAGATTAAGATATTCACTTTTCAGCTTGAGATTTTATTGTTAGTCACAAGTGTTGTAATCACATTTCTTATGCATCCAAATTTCAGCTTGAGACTTTATTGTTGAAGATAAAGGTTTGCAGTGTTATCATGCCTCTTTTGTGAGATTGAAAAATTGTTGGTAATTTGTAAAACGATGAAAAAAGATATGCATAAATTGTGGTTTGTGGCTAGTAGTATTGTTTCAATCTTGATTTTGTTGTGCTTGCTCTTTTTTCTCAAGTTTGAAATATTCTTCATCAAGTTATGGGTGTTGTGTAACAAACACGCGGGCTCGTTAGTCAAATGTGTTGTAATCATATTGCTCAACTTCTGAATTTCAGATTTAGGGTAATATATATTCAATTTTCCCCTTTCAAATGATTTTTTTGTAGTTTCCGGTGGGGAGAATCCACCGTCAACTCAAGTCGAGGACCAATGCTCACGGGCGAGTTGGAGCCACAGCCGCTGTTTACTCCGCGGCCATCCTTGAATATTTGACGGCTGAGGTTCTTGAGCTGGCCGGGAATGCCAGCAAGGATTTGAAAGTGAAGAGGATAACACCTCGGCATTTGCAGCTAGCCATTCGTGGGGATGAGGAGCTTGACACCCTTATCAAGGGGACAATTGCTGGTGGTGGTGTTATCCCTCACATTCACAAGTCTCTCATTAACAAAACCACCAAGGAGTGAAATTTGCAGGCATTTTTTTTTCCTTTGTTTAATATGGACAGCTTTTTATGCTTTTGTTTTAGGTTTGTAGCTATAAGGAGTTAGGGTGATGGTGATTAGTTTTATGAACTATTCGAATTCGAATTGCAGCCAATTCAATTCCTCAATTTCTTTATGCCCAACCTTTAAGGCCCACTCGTTGGTCCAAATTTATCTTGGTGGCCCAAGTTCAAAGTTTCAGGGTTGCTCAAACCAGATCCAACTCTCCCATTATTATGCTGGGAGAAAAACGCAGTGCAAAAGTTAGAAATTAAAGACATTTTCATAATTTTTCACACTTTGTGGTGTGAAAAAAAATTATCGTGGGAAGACATTGTGTGATGAATATGCAACAATTATGCAATTGATATATGATGGTTTTTTTTTGCATAATATTCGTTTATTCTGGGTTGAAAAAAGTTAAAAAATATCAAACAATGTAAAAAACTTAACATATTCTTATAAAACTATGGATTCCACTTAAATGGTGAATTTCAAATTTTCAATCACCATTATCATTGAAATAATTCGATTTTTTTTTTTTTTGAAAGACAAATAATAATATTCTTCCTCATCGTTAGTCAATAGCATTTTCAATTATGTTAGAAGGATAAATTCAAATGTCTACAAATAGAAATGTTGCCAAAAGTGCTTAAGCTTGCAGACAAGAAAGCATCTTATCCCAATATAAGCAAATTGCCTCTACTTGGCCAAATAAACAGGGACTAAAATAAATAAATAAATAAATAGTGAAAGAGCATTAACTAACATAATTTCAGAAATTAATTAGAAATTAATTAAATATCCCAACTAATATGAGTAAAGATCTTATAGTTCACATATGCCATGTTATAAACTCTAGCTAGTTTTTTTATGCCTTCTCATATTTTCACCTCTCTCTCTCTCTCTCTCTCTCTC